GAGATGATATCCCAAACTAGTCGTCAAATTCAGAGGGAATTCGAACAACCCATTTTGTATCTAATTTTTATTTCATAAAACAGGGTCTACTATTTTTTAAAAAAACAGTTTCTGTATTCTCTAGAATCTGCCAATTAACTATTCTAAACTTAAATCAGAAAAGGTGATGTTAAAAATGAAAAACATATCAAAACACCAGCAAGCCTTCACAGGACAATTATACTGAAAGGCACTTAATACAGGGTCAAGAAATAACCAAAGAAAACTGAAAACAACAAAGGAACAAGACAAACAAATGAAGAAACAAAAACTCATAGACAGACAACAGTGGTTACCAGAGGGTAAAAGGGGAGGAGGGTGGTAGAAGAGGGTAAAAGGGATCAAATATATGGTGATGGAAACAGAACTGAATCTGGGTAAACACACAATGTGATATACAGATGATGTATTACAGAATTATACACTTGAAACCTATGTAACTTTACTAACCATTGTCACTCCAATAAACTTTAATTAAAAAAAAGAAAGAAAGAACCAAAGAAATGTAGAGGCCTGAGTGTTTCTTAAACTCCACAATAATAGATTACTCACCCAAAAACCCAGCACTGTGTTCCCACGCGTTTGCACTGTGTGTCGGTGAGGTAAGCATAGTACTGTCTGAAAGGACAAAGGTGGAATTCACTGAGAGCTTCTGTAAAACCAATAAGTCAATATGGAATTCAATTACTGTCACAGAGTGAGTATAACAAAATGTCCTGCCTTCTTCCACATATTCGAGCTGCCTGGTCTAGTTCTAGTCCAGGGATTAGGAAGCCGGTGCCTGTTGCGACATTCCTGTGACAGGTTAGGAGTTCAGGCTAGGCTGGAGGGAGAGGAGCATGGTTCAAAGAGCCAGGTTATCAGCAAAGGTGGTCTTGATTCAGGGACAGGCTCTCCAAGCCTTGTGCCAGTGTAATCCCACGTGGGTGCTTCAGTCTCCTTCTCTAGAGGTGAATTCGAGGGTCACCTGCACTGTCATTAACTGTCTCCTTTGACTCTCTCCCAGGACAAAGGTTGCTGATTGTAACCAGGTAAGAAAGATATATATTTTTGGCTCTCAGGAACTGAAAGGGGACCCCGTCAGCACCTCACTGTCACTGAATGCCAATGTTACTGACAAGATGGGAAAAACGAGGCAATGACATGGAGTTGAAAGGCTTAGAACAGCACCCACCCAAAAGAAGTATGAGTCATAAATGCCAATTTAAAATTTTCCATTAGCCATGTTAAAAAAGCAGAAAGGAACAGATGAAAGTCATTTTCATAATGTGTTGTTTATCCCAATATATTGAAAACATTATAAGGAAGTGTTTTATATTGTTATTGTACTAAGTCTTTGAAATCTGGTGCATATTTTACATTATAGCACATTTCAATGTGGATTAACCACATTTCCAGTGCTCACAGCCACATGTGGTGAGTGGCTGCTGTACAAAAGGCTTAAAGTCTCATAACTACCCCGAAACGCAACCCATCCCTTCAGAAGTAGCATCTGAACCAGGAGCTCATCATCTTTTGGGGGTCACAGACTCCTGTGAGGATTTGATGAAAGCTATGATAAAGGCATAGAAAACTTGCACACAAAACTTTGCATTAATCTTCAGGAGATTCACAGATACCTAAAGCTCATCCATGAACGCTCGCCTCCTCTCCTCAAAGACCCTGGTGAAGAATTCTATCTATAAAGAATTCAGGTTTTCCTCTAACTTCACATTTTCATTACCTACTTTGCTTTTACCAATTCAGCTACTTTACCTTCTAATATATTCATCCACTATGCTGTCCTTTATACTATCAGATTAAAAGAATGTTTGCGGATATATTTTCTCAAAGCAGAGTCATGTGAAAGTCTAACCAAACAGCAAGAAAATGGAGACGTGCTGTGAATGATTTATCCTGAAGCCTATGAGCTTTTTCTCCTTTAGGGCCTGCCGTTTGCTAACTGGAATGGATGTCATAAAACCCATTAGAGCATTTCCATTTTTCTAAGAAGCTTGTTAAAGCATCTCCTTATATAGGAACTGCCTCAAGTGGTATAAGAACACAAAAAGTAGCTAATTTTTTTTACACAAAAAAGGTTCGTGCAGAAATCCATAGTATTTGGCAAAAATTTTGAGGAGCTCCCAAAAGTCAAAACATTGGATGTTTTAGTCTCTGGTTGTTTAGAAATGTTTAATAATATTGAAATTTTGTGATAAATCAGATGTGATTTGCTACTGTTTTATAAGAGATTTCTTTCCCCACTTATTGACTTATTGGTTGCTCCTAATTTTATGAAGAAACTGCTGAACGTTCCTGAAAATAATTGTGGGCCTCAAATTAAATTAAGTTTTAAATAAGGGAGGGAGGCTCTAATCCACCAAGGAAAAACAGCATTTATGAGATAACTACTTCAAGGGCTGCTGGCTTACCAACTGTTACTTTCCTGTTTGGTTAAAATACGCGTCAAAAGAAGACATGGAATTTTAGCCCTAACTCCACAGGGCCCACTGTTTCTTCTTTGGTTTGTTCAATCCAGTATTTGGAGGTTATATATAAAGAGATATCTATCTATCTATTTATCTATCTATCTATCTATCTCCAAATCTTGTATTACAAATATTGTAATAATGGATGAGGACAAGAGGTGCTGGCTTCGGGTGAGGGCTGTGTTTGACAAAGGAAAATACTACTCTCCTTGGCAAGTGAGGCCTCTACTTGTGTAGTCTACAAGCACATTAAAAATGACAAATTAAGTTACCCTACAGCTTCTGAAAGCTAACCCGTTTAACTGCTTAGTTTGTATTGGTATCAGCTGTGCAGAGATCTTTGGTGCTTCTACTGATCAATGCCAGTACTCCATATTAGTTAAAAAAAACCAAATGCCACTTCTAAATAGAAAAAAATGAAACAAATGAAAATGTTTTGCTCTGAAGTTCACTGGGATCAGTCAATGTCAAGAGACAATCTCCGGATAATGCCTCATCTCCATTACACTACACAAATCGAGGAAAATAATGGCCTGAAAATCCAAGCTTATCTCAGCTGTCCTGGAGGACTACAGGAAGGACATTTTTAAAAGGAAATTGATTTAATTGGCTCTAAAAGAGGTGAAGTCTCGTTCTAAAAATAACATCACTTAGGATTTCAGATCCACCATAAAAACATTTGTAGTTTTTAATACTCTCATTAAAAAAATACTTCAGCATCACTGCTACTCATTTCTTTTTTAATAGGATGTTAGAAGGGCAAAAAAGAACAGCAGTGAAGATTGTAACAGGGTTTGAAAATAATGGTGTGGTGTTGATTGTTCACTTCATGTTACTGAGGTCTCAGAGCAAAACATTTTCCTCATATTATGGATATATAATTCTTTAGAATGATATTTTCGTGGAAAATCTGCTAGTTTATGTGACTTCCCTTCTGCTAAACAGGAGAATACAAAGCAGGCTAACATGCTCAAATGATAGTCAAACTTATATACAATTACCTCACTGTGGGAGCCGTGATGCCACCAATAAAGAGAATTCTACACCAACTTAATGGATGACTGGCTTGGAACACAAAGATATGTTTCAGGAAGAAGGTATTCAACTCAGTCAGCTGAAAAAGAAGGAGGCATTAGTCAACCTGGTATTTCATGCTAATTCATAATCATATATTCCCTTAAATGGACATTCTACAACTAAAAATAATTGGTATGTTCACAACATTTTTAGAAAATACACTGGATGTTCCAAGGGCTGCTATTTAAACTTGGTAAAAGCCAGTACAATATGGGCACCAAACAATCAGGGGTCCAGGAGGAGGTACTGGGGTGGTAGGAGAGGCACATGGGGTCACCAGCTGTTGTCACGTTTCCTGGTTTGCATAACTGTCACTTGGGTCATGTGTGTGATCTGCTGGGCTAGTTGGGAAAGACATGCTATGAAAACAGCAGAAATCATGAAAACAAAAATTCCTGTGTACAATGGAGCACCTATGCAGCCTTATAGAAATTAGGCCAGGTCTAAAAGAAGTGCAACTATAGGAAAGTAAATCTTTACTAACCAAGAGACGCTTGAGGTATGTCACTGAGGGATGACTGTGGACTAACTAGTTCAGCACACACCTGGGACCCAGCAGATCCTCAACCAAAGGTAGTTCTTAAAAGTGGGTGTGAAGGATTGGTCCAAGTTGCACCCTGGGGCAGGGGTACTCTCCCCTGAGGTTATCATCCAAGTACAGCTCACAGAAGAGTCCTTAGCAGCACATAAGAGACTGAGGCAGGGACAAGCTCAAAGCCCTGGGCCTGGAGCCTACATTTCCTCTCCAGACTGAGCAAGGGGCAGAGACTAGGAAAGGTTACTACTTTAAGAATATGTCATATGGACAGCAGGTTCATTTCAGTGACACAAAACATTTGTCTTTTCCCATAGCACTGACTTCAAGGATACAGAATAAAAAATGGTCCACTACTTAACACCACATGTGGAAAGCTGATCACAACACAAAGCTCACACTCAGGGAAGGTGTGCTCTGTGGAATGCTGCCATTCTAGGAGCACACTGCTATCTCTTCTGAACAAATCCAAATTCCTCCTCAGTTCTTGGAACAGAAGAAAACCTATACCTTCCCTGACATTGACCTGATAAGGTAAAACTTAATCTCAATCCATTCACACTCCCATTTTCACACATACTGACTTCCCCAAACCATGGTGACTAACTACTCCCATATACTTCTATATCCACAAACTCCATTTATTGAGATGGTCATTATTATTCTCCATGTGTGGACAAGAACTGTCTTTCTTAAAAGTGACTGGGTGATGGATGCTGACAGTAGCTTTTTCAGGGAATTTTAATCTGTTTCTTATTTGTAATTCAAAGATCCATATTTTAAAATGCCTTCGTAATGAAGCAAGCCCTTAGGCATAATAACATTGCTTTGTTTAATTATCCCATATGTCAGCTACAGAATATTAGATCTTCTGAAGTATCTAGCTGGTAAGCAATGTCAACTAGCATTACCTCTAAATTCCTGGATGGTTTTTAGTTTGTTCTTAGTTCTGGGCACCTGAAAAAATACCTGCCAGATGATCATGAAAAGGTATATTCCAGCCACTCTCTGAAATGAAGATTTAGGGTCAAACCATCGGACGTAGGTCCAGCTAGCAGGAGTGAACTGGAGCACAGCCCTTTTGATTTTCCCGGTGGTGGTGTGGATGTCCCTGTAAGGAGAGAACAGCTGCAGTGAAAACCCAAAGAGATAAGGAAGGGGAAGGAAAAAACAAAACAAAAGAAGAAACCAAACCAAACCCGTGCATTGACTATTTTACAACCAATGCTCTGAACCAAAAGATTCCTTTCTATTTAAACCATCTCTCCAACAATGGTCTGCATTCACAGGTGAAGCACTGAAAGCAGCCCACTCGATGGGGAATTTCAGGGATGACAGGCACAGCACCGAGGTCAGGTCACTGCAGAGCCAGGAGAGGCCTTAATTTGTGAACTGGTGACAAAAGAAGCTGAGAGGCATTAGAGACAACCATCTGGAACCAGGCCAAGAAGAAGAAGGGTGCCAGCGAGGATCTGACCCCCACCCCGTCTGCCTCCCAGGTCAGGGCGTTTTAGTAAAATACAGAGCACACACACTCGTGAGGTCTCCCACATCATTTCCTCACCCTGATTCTTCCTCAGAAAAGTGAGGAGCTTGGGTTGATGAACAGTGATTTTTAACCTTTCTTAGTTTTAATCCTAGAAATGACTCCATTAAACAATCTCATACTCTCATGATAGACACAAACAGCCCACGTATTATTACAAATAAGAATATTTAGGCTCAGAGAGAGCAACTGGCTGGTGCAGGCTCACCTTGGAAGCCTCAGAGCTAGGTGTGCATTCCAGCCCTGTCACTAGTCCAGGAGAGCCGAAATCCAAGGTAAACAGTATTTAATGACCAGTAAAGACTCTTTAATTCAACAAAGACTTATATCAAGGAACTTTATGTCTCAGGTACTGTGCAAAGTGCTGAAGGCACAAGTGCAAACAAGCCAGGCCTTTTATTCTTTTTGGGGGAAGGAAAGAGGAACGGAAGGAAACCACGTTTGTTCCTTCATCCACTCACCTACCCACCAACAAGTACGTAGTGAGAAAATTCCACAGCAAGCAGATTCGAAGCAAAAAAGCAACAAAAAATAGAGACTACCCCAAAATAAACAAGAACTAAGAAGGACCTGTATTTTTAAAAGTGGCAAAACTTCATGGAAAGAGGTAGCGAAAGACAGGAATAAACATAGAAATACAGCATGATTGAGAATTGGAATACTTTAATAGAATAAAGAGGCTGATTCAACCTAAATTAATCTATATTTGTTTGTACATTTAATGTAACAACAACAACAAAAAACCACCAATGGGATTTTCTGTTTATTAGCTTAATCTATGTTTTGGTAACTTGACAAAATGACTCTCAAGTTGAATTTGAAGCATAAATATATGAAAGTAGGGGAGCATTATGGCAGTGCTCAAGGAGCCAGACAGTCTGACACAAATTCAGACAACTGCTTGCTAGCTGTACGTCCTTAGGCAAATTACTAAACCTAAGTCTCAGTATCCTCATCCCTACAATGAAGAGAATAATGGTGTCTACTCTACAATTGATATATGGCTCAAATGAGATACTGTTTGTAGAGGTTGTTTGGAGCAATATCCAACACAGCTGGTTTTTTACATTTTATACTGCCTTAAATTTATTTAAAAGCATGCTTTCAAGTGGCTAGTCAAAGAAAGAATTATTAACAAAAAAGATGAGGAAAACTGGTTAATTAACTGCAAAAATGCTGTAAAATCTCCCTGTCACATCATATTCCAAAATAAACTTGAGATCGATTAGATAAGTTACTTACAATAAAAAGACTTAACTATTAAAGAACTGGAAGAAAATACAGCTAACATTTACATAAACAAGAAAATTTAAAGCTTTTAAAATTTAAATGGAAAACCTACCACAAACAAAATTAGAAGAGGATGACAAAATGCAAGTCATATTTAGGATAAAATGTAATTAACCTTAATCTAAAAAAATCACTAATAAAAGAAAAAGAATCCAATAGAAACAGACTAGAAAGTTCATATCACACAATTGTATGTTAATAAAATTGGCAAAGGTTTAAAAATAAAATTCAAAGAAACAGTGAAATGAACACATATATACATTGGTGTACACGTGTGAGAAGATAAATTGGTATATTCTACAATACTTCTAAGAGTTTATTTTTAAAAAAATTAGAGATGCACAGAGATAGATGTTCAAGAATGTTCACTCTAGCCTTCATTATAAAAGTGAAAACTGTGAGACAACTAAAACATTATAAAATTAGGAAATTAGTTAAATAAGTTATGGTTTATCCATCTACTGGGACACAATGAAAGCCTCTAAAAATCACATTTTAGAAGAATATTTAAATGCTGGAAAATGTTCATACTTTGTTATAGAAATAAGATAAGATTTAAACACAATAGAAAGAACTACTACTTTCGTTATCATTACCGTTGTTCTTTTCCTCTTTATCAATGGCAGGGTTCTTGCCACAGTCAAAGTGAGGCGCAAGTTTAGAAAGGCAGGATAAAGAACGATGGAGGTGTGCACTGTCCTCCAAGGAGACAGAGGAGGAGCACGCAGCTAGTTTATAAAGTCAGAGACAACTACCTGGCGAGGTTAACAAGTGAGCCGAATCAGGAAAGAGAAGGACCAGCCAGCCTGGCCCATGGGGACACAGGTCAAACCCAGGCAGAGGAGCATGTACGGGCTCAGGAGGGAGTGGAGAAAGGGACCACAGATGTAAACTTTGTCTTAAAGACCATGAGAAGCCATCACGGGGAAATGACATGAAGAATCAGACATTCTTAAAAAGATCACTCAAGCAATGGCGTGAGGCTTTGAGGGCTTATCCTGGGGATAGGGGACTAATTAATCCTGAACGCAGGTGAGGCATAAGGATAAAAAGGAGGGGATGGATTTGAGAAAATTGTAAATGATTTAGCATTTTCTGAATGAGTGCCTGAAATTAGGTTTATAATCATTCTGAGTTTCAATTACTAATGTATAATTTATTCTTTATCATCGAAGACCGTTCTAAAATTGCATGCTACTAGAGGAGTAAATAATACAGTGTGAAAAACTGTGACTGATGTTCAGAAAGAAGATGACTCACTTGAAGCTTGCCCAGTGGTAAGTCCTCATCTCTAAAAACCGGCAAACGACCATGCCCAACCAGATGCCACCGCCGTTGCACAACAGGATGTCCAGAATGACCTGATCCCACCAGCACTCAGCAAAATTGGGCAGGAGATGCATGAAGAAAAGCTGAGAAACACAACAGATGATGGTTGTAAAAAGAAAAATTGGGATACCACATGAAAAGATAAATTTCCTTTTAATAATAGCAGGAGTGCCAAAGAAATGTATACACATGACTTGTATTCATCTTTTGTTATCGGTATATATTGAGTATTACAATTTTAATACCGCTTTTTCCTTTCTTAAAATGTGTATACATTTTTTTGACACCCTCTGTATATTGTTTTAGGAAAAGTTGTTGACATACCAGTTTTTACTAATGTATTTAAAAAATAAATAAAAAGAAGAGGAACCAGGGTCTGTGTTCTGGTTCTTGTTTTTTAAATTGTGGGTGTTTTGCAAACAGTACTAATCCAAACAGCTCTTCTTCTGACATAGGGCTTTAAAGAAATGAAGGTCCTTCTTTAAAAAATTCTACGGGTGAATTACATTGGCTAACGACAACATGAGAAGGACCCAGGAGGGGAAAAGGAGAAAAATTTTCACACCTGCCAACAAAGCATGAGCAAAATATTCAAAGTTAGCAGCTTGATATTCAGGCTGTGCATTTTAGAAACATTCCAAAGATATTTGGGTAAAACAGTGAGTAAGCTATAAAAGGAGACAGGTTAGGTCTTGATGACATGATGGAGGAAACTGATAGCTTAATAGGAAATCTCGCACTAACTGATTCACAATAATACTAATCTTTTATTAAGCTCCTGTGATGTGCTAGGTGGTGAGAGAAGAAGGAAGTCAAGGTTCTTGATCTCAAGGGCAAGAGTGAGATGGTTATCCAGAACCACAAAATAAGGTAGGCTGTGGCAAGTGTTACAAAGGTGACATAAATGGAACATGGTGGGGACAAGACAGATGCATTCTGACAGATGGCAATTGGAACAGGCTTCTGGGAGGAAAACATATAGGAGTGGGATCGTTAAAGACAGAAATGACTGGTTTCAAGAGACAGAGATGAAAACATTCTAGAAAAGGGAACAGTAAAGTCAAAGGTGGCACAGAAGTCTATTATGGAAATCGTTTTGTTCAAAACAAAGGGCCTATCAGCTGTGTCCAGAGCAGAATGCCCTGTTGTGTGAAAGCCCATTTTAAGGTCTGCAATTCCAGAGAAATCGCCTGAGAGTTCTCTGGAAAGAGGCAACCCGTAATTACAAATGTCTGAAGTAATATAATGAACACCACAACATAGAACTATTCATGAAAGCATTTGGTAGACTATAAAACATTACAAATATGAGAAGTTTGCCTTCTTAACATGCCTGCTGCCCAGAAGATTCAAAACAGCTACTGCATGTGATGGTTTGTGGCTGCGTTTCTGAACCCAGGTGGGCCAGGCACTTTCCATGAGATACAGTCCCAGGTTCCCAGCTATGAGATGGAGCGTTAACTCTTGCCCTTAGGGAAGAAAGAAGCTTCAGCAGAAGTTGACGACACGTATTTGCTGAAATAAAGCTATGCAGGGGAGTGGGCTGTGGAGGACATATTATTCTTCAGCCTAAGGAGCTTTCCTGGAAAGTACCAGATTCTAAGGATGAGATGGGTCCCTGAGAGACCTGAGTAGGGGGACCTGGAGGTAGGAGCATTCATTCCTTCACGAGGGGTTTGGGAATTATCTGCCACCTGTGAGGCAAAGCATCTGGGACTATGGAGATATGGGCCCTGCCCTCTCGAGGCATAATGTTTAGCAGAAAAGAGACACTTATCAAGTATGTAAAATGTGCTGAGCATTTCAAAGGAGAAGGTCCAGGAGCTCTATTTCTGGTGTACCAACATGGAACACAGCCAACGGAGGGAGCAAGGAAGAGAGGTAACAGCTTGGGGGAGGGCTCTGTGGGAGGAAAGAGCAGTCTCTGAGATAAAGAAAGCAACGATGGCCGGAGCACAGAGAGCAAGGTGGGGGGGCTCTCGAGGAGGCTGGGGAGGTGGGCCAGGGCCAATTAATATCAGGCCTTGTAGGCTGGGTCACAAGTTTGGATTTTGTCTTAACAGTAATGGACAAACACTACAGAGTTATTAGGAGGACAAGAACGTGACTGGGTTGAGGTCTGAATAGAGTCACTTCGTCAAAAGATAGTATGAAGGGAAACGAGTAATTCAGACAAGAGATGACAGTGGGTTAGATAAAATGGGAGCAAAGGTGCGGAAAGACTTAAATGAACTGGAAGGTGTTCAGAAAAGAGTCTATAGGACTTGGGGATGACAGGACGCTGAGGAGCGGGCAAAGGAAGGTGCAGGAGGTGTAGTCTGTGGTGTGAGGGAAGAGGAAGAGGAGGCCGAGAAAGGCCAATGCCTTGCACAAGGTCACACAGCGGCCAGGTTATGAAGGTGCCTGGAAGTCACAGAGGCAGAACATGCTAAGAGAGCAGGAACATGGGCTACACAGCGGGGATCCAATCTTGGCTCACCTCACGAAGCAACAAGCCTCTGAGCTCTGGTTCCCTCAGGTGTACATGGGGCACAGACACTGGCTTTTCTAGTTTATGGTGAGGATTTAGGATGATGTATGTACAATGTTGGCCAATGTTATGGATTGAATTGTGTCACCTCAAAATCTGTATGTTGAAGCCCTAACAGAGTCATTACACATATAATTAGTTAAGCGGTCATACTGGAGTAGGGTGGGTCCCTAATCCAGTATGACTGGTGGCATTATAAAAAACAAAAAACGCCATGTGAACGCACACAGGGAGAATGCCATGTGAAGAGGAAAGCACAGATTGGGTGATGCGCCACAAGCCAAGAAACACCAAAGATGGCCAGCAAACCATGAGAAGCTAACAGGGAAGCCTAGTGTAGATTCTCCCTCACAGCTCTCGGAAGGAGCCAACACTGCTAACACCCTGAACCTGTAGTTCTAGACTCCAGGGTCATGAGAGGCACGTTTATATAAGCTATATCCAAGTGGCATGCTTCTGTAAGTTAGGGTCAGGATAATAATGACAGGCACCGAGAAATATACTTGTGCACAAGGCCAAATTTTGTTCCTTGGGAATAAAGATAGCTCAACAATAAATGAATTGGTTCCCAAAATTTCATTTTACTAATAGTTTTCAAGAATGTATCTCTTTCATTCATCAAATGAGAATGAGACTACTTTCAATTACTGAGATATTAAAGCTATACTGGGAATCCATTTTTCAGTTACAAAGTATCATGGATGGCCCTATAAATCCTAAATACCACAATCCTATTTATCTCAAACTAGAAACTAGTTAGTGAATAAACTACCTACTGACTTCTAAGCAGATCTTATTACCCTTTGTTTGTCTCACTTGGGATTTCAACTTCATTCTTTAGCTTTATTTCATTTGTTTTTCTTTAAGGTTTGTGAGATAGAAGCAGACTTGAAGTTAACAAGGAGTTATTTTTTCCCCACAAAGCTATAAAATGTTCGTAGAGGGTGGTTTAAATACAGTTTTGTACCACAGGGGCTGGAGAACAGACTGCTTGACTGTTAACTAACGGACTGTCTTCTTCCTACATATAAACTATCCACACTGCAGGGTCTAGATAATGGCCCATCCCCCCTTCTTACCTCCGTTAGCTCCCACGTAATACTGATGGTCCAGCAGAGACCATAACTACGGATCAACAAGGCCTTCATAGCCCAACCCCAGAAATGTCCAAATGCAAATATATCAAAATGGCTGATAATCCTCTCCCAGGTGATAACATGGCAGTTCACAGCATACTCCTGTTTAAAGTAAAAAGAAAAATAATTAATGATACTCTAAAATTCAACTTGCTTCCAGGATTCTCATAATAAATGGGAACTGATATGACCTTGATAACTAACATATGTCCTGCTCAATAAAAAAAAAGTTTTAATAACTGAAGATTCTTGAGGAAAAATGGACAAGCATTAAAACTTATAAATTAGAATTGCTTTGGTCTGAATTGCAAAAGCTGGGTTAAAATGAGAAACAAAATGATTTTACAAAGGCTTAACACATCCTAAAGAGACTACGTCACCTGACCATAGGGAAACTATGTTAAGGCCAGTAACAAAAACATAATAAAATGCCAATAAAAAAGGAATAAGTCGAATCTCAACAAGATTGGAAATTTAAAAAGATGTGTCTAAATATCATGGATTAAGAAAGAAATCATAGGGGCCGGCCTAGTGGCTCAGTTGGTTAAGAGCTCGCTCGAGAGTGTGAGCTCTGAGCAACAGTGGTTCGAGTCCAGCCCGAGCTGAGCTGCCGCTGAGCTGCCAACAGGTGGCAGGATGGCTCAGCTAAAAAAAAAAAAAAAGAAACAAAATATATTCAGTATTAAATGAAAATGAAAATGCTGTTTTATAAAAAAATGATGAGATGCAGTTAAGCAGAACTTAGAGGGAAATGTATCAAAGCCTTAAATGCTTATATTGAAAAAGTTGAAGCATTCAATTTCAGAAATTAGAAAAAATAGAATGACCTCTCCACTCCAAAATATATCAGATATTACATAACTTAAATATAAAAAATTATAAAGCTTTTAAGAATTTTGGTTCCATTTCTAATATCTTTTTGTTTTTAATACATCCTTAAGTAATGTGAAGTCAACATTACTTAATGGAGGAAAGGGAAAACTCTGCCTACCTCCCAACTGGTCTGAGGGCTGATCTCCATGGCTCTATCCTCTCCTCCGCTGCCCGACAACCCAATATCAAGTCCTATTCATTTTAGCTCCCCAAGCATTTCTTTTCTCCATCTCACCAACACTATTATTCCTTGCTTATCATGTCCACAATAGCTTTGAAAACTATGAAATGTTTCAGGTATTCAAAAAAGTGCAGATGACGTTCTAATAAGTACTTGAGTACCTACATCCAGCTCAAAACTATAGAGATTTTTAACTGGTCTCTGTATTCACTTTTGCTTCCTGTAACTGACTCTCTATGAACAAAATGATTTCTCAGATGATGAATCAGATCATTTTGGGGGTGTGTGTGTATGTTTGTGGGGGCGGGGGGCTGGGTAAGGCATCCTTCCCAGTGTAGAAGGATCGCCATACTACACGCTGCAGGCCTCCTGTCCCCCTCTCACTCACTCTCTCATTTCCAAGGTTGGTAACCATGGAAGAAGAAAGAACATATGAACTCCGACGTCTTTGGAAATTATTTGCCTGCACATGCCACAGAGAGTTCTCATCTGCTCCTTCCTTTTGGAAAAAGCTGTGGTTGTCCAATGGGATGGAGAGAAGAAGCCTGACTAACTCAGCGGGGAAAGGAGGCTGTATTATAATAGCAAGGGCACATGGCCCAGGTCTAAAGCCATCCGCTCCATTGTGCTTTCACCAGGAAGAAATCAGTTGATATTCGGCACTCTTTTTTGTTTCCAAACTCGACTGAAGATGGGGTATTATTAATTGACCCCCTAAACCACCAACCTTCCATGGCCTTTTACAGCCTTCAATTACATTCAGAATAACATCCAGACTCCTTATCTGAATCTCCCCAGCCTCAGGAACTGTGCTCCTCTGCCTTTGGATTTCTACTCTTCTTTAGCTCTTGACTGATGCCAGTTCCCTCAAGTCAGGGCCTCCTCACTGGTCATTCCCCCTTCCCAAATAATGGCCCCAACCCCCTACCCTCACTTTGCTTGGCCAACTCCTCTTAACTTTTTAGTTGTCAGCTTGAACATCAGGTATTCATGGAAGCCTGACTTGCCAGACTTCCCAGACTAGATTAGGTCCCTTCTGTAAGTTCTAACAGCACCCATGTCTTACCCTTTATTGCACTGCACACATCTATAATCATTATGCTTTCTTGGTTCTATGACACATTCTTTACACACTGGAATAGTTAAAGAATTGGGATGAAAATTCCAATATATTACAATGGTTGGTGCATTTAATATAAGGTTTCTTTTTCTTCCCCTGCCCAAAAGTCATACCTACAATTGATGGCACATCTTAAAATCGATGTTGACTTCCTGACCCCCAATGATCAATCTTACTGTCATGAAAAGAGACACAACCAGACAGCATGCGCCTTCTAGTGTGATACACAGCACCACCTATGAAGTAGTCCCACCATAGGACATAGAACTGAACTGGAATCTGGAATCAGCTTCGACATCTAACATCCAATTTACAGGAAATACGGGACACACAGCAATACGTTAGATGATACCCTGAAAATTCAAGCTGCAAAATCCAGATGTGAGAAACTCTACAGAATAAACAATGTGGTTTCTTTGACTAATGAATTTCAAGGTAAAAAGAGGTGGGGAGGGACTACAGATAAAAGAGATTTGAGAGCTGTAGCAAATGCAATGTGCGAACCTTGTCTGGATCCTATTTTGAACAAATCAGCTGTAAAAACCTTTATGAGGTGATTGGGGAAATGTGAACACTGACTGCATGCTGTTAATTGTTAAGCAACTGATAATGGCACTGCAGTTATATTGAAGAAAAAAGTCTGTTTATCTTTGATATATCTGAGAACTGTTTCAAAATAATCCAAGATGTGAGGGGTAAAAATGAAACAAGATTAGGTAATGTATTGATAAAATGTTTGGAAGTGTTGAAGTTATCTTGAGTGTAAGAAAAAGAGCCAACAATTATTTGTTCTATTAGCTTCTTGTAGGCTCTAAGCTCCGAGAGGACAGGGAGTGTGCCTGTCCCCTTTTCCCACTACCACCAGCACCGTGTCGAGCACACAGGAAAAACTTAGTACGTATTTACTAAATGGAAGACTGCTGGTTCAGACAACCCAATTTACAAATGAGATGTGCTCTGAAAGCTTGTCTGAAGCTTAGAACACATATTTTTAAATAGAGTTAATATTTAGAAAAGCAGCAAACTTTCCAGACAATTATACACACACACACACTACTGCCTCTAAAAAGATTTCAATGACCCCCCCAATCCTATTTTATTAATTTAACTGTAAGAAAAAAGGGTGTGTGAATTTCAATGTGCGGTACCCGTCATGGACTTGAGCCTATCAAGATTCGGAGTAGGTGGCAGCACTGAAGAAGTAAGGAGAGCAGATGGCCCTGGGAACCAGGGAACTATAGACTGTCTGTCTTGCATAAAGATATTTCTCCTTACCACAATTCTATCAAAAGGAAGGTGTTTCTCCAGAGCCATCAATGAACAGGTCCTTAGAACTATGAGAGATTACTTTAAAGAAGTAGAAAGTGGTTAGATATCAGAGATAAAGACTGAGGTGTTTCAGCACCAGCTGGAACCCTAAAAGCTGAAAACAGCCTCATGCTTTGCTTTTCTAGCAAGAAAGAGTTTGCCAATACTTGAAAGCTAGATTTCAAAAGCCAGTTTCAGCTCTTTTGGGGCTGTCACTGTGACAATCAGATGTCCCTGTGATGTCAAATTCCTAAGGAAGCTAGATGTCAAAAGCATTATTGGATTTAACCTCCCCACCTTGCTGTGAGAAAGGGATCAACAGAGACTCACCTGGAAATCCACATACAAGCCAGTTTACTTTGTTCAAAGCCCAAGGAAATTGTGGGGGAAAATATCTTATCTGAGGTATCCTTCTCTTAATCTCTATTTCATAAACTTCTGTGAACGTCAAAGCACTTATTATTACAATTACATACATGAACTATATACTTGAGGACCAGTGCAAAGGGAAAATACAGGTTTCAAAGCCAAAGGGATCCTACTAGCTTGTGCTCTGAGTGAGATACTCTTCCTTTTAAAGCTTCTATTTCCTCCTCGGTAAGATGGGGTATTAATGCCGGACATGCATGTGAGAGGCTTATACAGACTCAATAGAAAGCCCAGCACAGTGCCTGGCAGAACAGACAACCCACAATCAGTCACTGCTATCATCCTCACCATAACCGTCATAATTGTTACTGTCATCATTAGAAGCTGTAAGTCACCCTGTGCCATCCTCTTCCGTAGAGTAAGAAACCCCAACAGACTTTTCTCCCTGAGATTTTTAAAGTAATTTTTGGCATTCTTATTTTCGGCTATAGGATGTGTTTTATAAAAGTTGAAGAAAAAAATCTGGAAACGGCATTCCAAGGGTCTGACCAATCTCAACTATGGTAGAAGGATTTTCTCAGACCATTTATTAAGTCCCTTCTCATGTTTCTTATTAAACAAGGGCCTGTTCATGGCCCAAATGCCTGTTCTCCTTTTCTGAGCATCACTAGCTTTTTCTTCAATCTGTACCAAATGTTAGGCATTAAAAAAGTGGGGGGCAGGGGAGGAGGAGGGTGGAAGAACAGCATTATAGTATAAAATAGTCAGTAGTTTTAGCCAAGGATAAAATTATTTTTTGTGGTTTAATAAAAATAAAGAATGCAGTGGCGTAAATCACAACGACTGGCCCTTCATGGCAAGCAGGTGGGAAGGATCATGGCATCACGGCCAGAGTGGGGAGCAGAGGTGCCGAGGGTGACACTGCTGGTGCAGCCACCGCCGCAGCCATCACTGAAAACCTGGTGTGTGCAAGGCACCGTGCTAGGCCTCGTAGATAATGTTGCTTCATTTCATTCACAGTAAACTCCCAAAATAAATATTATTATTTCACTTTATTAAAAAGAGAACAGGCTAACAAATGCGTTGACCAGAATCCTACAGCTAACAAGTGACAGAGGCAGAATCCACACCCAAGGCCATCGGATGACAATGTCCACTGTTCCTACGGTCCCCCTTTACTCCAAGTGAGGATTTCATTTCCTTGACTTTATCACTCATAGAAACCACACACCTACCTTAACCTGCCCAGAGACCTGGTTTTTACATGTCTACACAGGAGATACAGCAAAAGAACAATTTAGAATGTACAACCAACTTCCTCCTATAACCAAGAGCCCACCAATTTCTCTGAGACCACCGGCCAGTACATACCATGACATCTGCTTCCCTCGTGGCGTATCGAAGATTCGGATCTAGCCAGTACATTAGGGATTTCACCTGCTCAAAGTTCAGGAAGAGGAGGAAGACCAGGAACAGGAAGTAGAGCACACTGAGTCCTGAGGGAAGCAGAAACAATCTCACATTGAGGAAAGACTCAGGTGTCAGACACACAGCACACATTAGACTCAAATCACTTATGGCCAAAGCAGACAACTGATTTGTAACACAGTGTGTTGAGACCCCCATTACAATCTGGTATTCCCTTTGATGAGAGTCTGATACTCAGTCCTAATTCAGATTTACAGGGTCAGTGAAATTTGATGAGAAAATGACGCTTAAGCTGAGACTTGAAAGACGGACAGACAGAGGGTGTGTGGGTGGGGGGGAAGGGTGGATGCAGCATTCAGGCAGAGAAAGGTATTTAGGTAAGTCCCTGGAAAGAGAAACATCTGGGAGCTGCCACGTGGCTGGGGTGATGGCAGAAAAGGGAAGGCAGTCAAGTAGCACTGAAGTGACAGTCAGGGCTTGGCAACCATGGCAAAGGTTTCAGATTTTACAATATCTTAAGTGAAACAAGGAACACTTGATGGATTTTAAATAGGGAACAAGGTGATCTAGGTAACATTTTACAAAGTTGACTCTGGTTGCGGTGTGGAGGGTGGAGAGAGGCGGGCAAAGCTGAGTGTGGACAACCTAGTTTGGGGGCCACTTCAGTGGGGACAGGCATGAAGTGCGAGAGGTGGCTCCTGGGCAACTCATCTTACACCCAATATTAGCCCTTGTAGGCATTATGTTACTATCACGTCATATCATAACTGGTATCCTAATAATCATCTCACGTCATTTAAAAATAAAGTTAATCTACTTTAAGAAGGCAAAAGCCTGTAAATATATTTTAGAAAGATTTAAAAACCAACCACCAGTGGCTTTGTCATTTCTCTTTCTGTCAAACCTGCTGGAATTAAAATGCTAATGTAAGCCATCTAGACACTGTGATGCAAATGACCTTGGATCACAGCACCCCATCCAAATTTGGCTCAGCACTAATCCGCAATGAGCCACTCGAGGAGAGAATACCAGTGGCTGGAATGGAATCCCGATAATGGCTACCATGCCAGGCCTTCCAACAGGGAGCTCCTGGTCCCGGGGGAGCTGGGAGCAGGGGCTTGAGAGTAGCATGGCCCACCCAGGGCACAGGAAGCACATTTTTAGGCATGTAGGTATGTGGTCCTCCTCGGGTTTGTATTTATGTACCAGTTATTTTTACAAATTTTCACCTCAAATGCCCCCCACTACACCTTTTTATTATAATCCTTTCAAAATAATTACTTTAAGACAGAAAAAAAGCATCTGTGGAGCAGGGGTTTTTAAACTGGAGTTCATGGTTGGGCTTCAAGGTCTGTGAAGCCCAGATATGATATGTAGAACTGTGTGTGTGTGTATATATGCATGTGAGTCTATAGCTACCAAATTATCAAAGGGCTCCATAATCCCAAAAAGATCTCAGGTAAGGAATAAAACTGCTCATTACCTATAATGAACCACTTAAAATAGAAAAAACTCAGATGTAGCCAACTAGCTGAAAATAACTTCAATCAGCAATACTATTAACTTCAATATCAAGATGTAGTATTGTAGGGGCCTAGGCCCAGACCCTGGGCTGGGGAGGCTGTGCCTTGGGCCAGACAGGCTCATTTTGGACATGCCCCCGCCCTAAGCAATAAGAAAAAGTCATACTTCAGCTGAGCATAGCAGAACATCCTGTTAAGCTAGCTAGACTAGTAGGATACGGTCATAACTGACAGTAAAAGCTCCTCTTTGCAATTAGGTTACAACAATAGATTATTTTACAGATTATCCATTTTCACACCTAGCTCAGGACGTTTTGCAAAAACTAACTGCTTTTTTGCTTCTGTACACTTGCTTCTGCAAACTCCCGGAAATTAAGCCCCTATAAAACTTCCACCCTCCAAGACCTCGGGGCTGTTCTCCTCTTGCAGAGTGAGGCGGTTGCCAGGCTTGGCTGAATAAAGCTTTTGGAATGAAAAACTCTGTCTCTCAGGTCTTTACTAATGAGCAAGGACCTAACAGTACGATGCAACCAGGATTATCTTTTTAAAAATGTAAATGAATCATGTCACTTCTCTGCAAAAAATCCTCCCATGACTTCCTACTGTTCATATCCACAATCCTTACTGGCCCACAAGCCCTGTTAGGCTTCCATCTACACCCAACTCTGACCACTCTCTCACTACTCCCCAGAGGGCTGCAATGCCCTGGCCACACTGGTCTGGAACACACGAAGTTTTTTCTAGCTGGGGACCATTTTCGTAGCAATTCCTTGGCCTTGCCGCCCACCTCCCACCTTTGCATTCTTAGATCCTTCTTTGCATGCAAATTTTCGATTAAGTGGCCGCCTTCAAGCCTCCTGTCCCACACAAAAAGCAGCCACCCAGCCCTTATCACCTCGTATGGTTTTAATAAATGTCCTAACATTTAAACAACAGCTGATATTTTTGATTATTGATTTGTTTAATAGTTTGTCTGCTCTAGTTGTCCTCCCTCCTTGGGGCCCTTCCCCACTGGAAGGGCCGCTTCCGGGCTCTGTCTGGCCCCCTTGTGCAGCCTCAGGGCCAGAGCAGCCTGCCACACAGAGGCACTCAGTGAACCCCTGCTGAACGAATGATGAAGACTGACCACTAAATTCAAAGAAATTTACTTATGATCTCTGAATATTGAAAGAAAAACAGGCAACCTTGAGCAAAACATCCATTTTAGGGTCCTTTTGGGTAAGATTACATTTTCGTAAGTTAAAATAATTTATTTGCTGTCTTATTTAGGCTAGATGAAACCAATATCTATAGTTCTGAAGATTTGTTTTAAAATCCATTCAGGTGATTAGACTATTTGGACTAGAAATGAAATGAAAATAAGACATCCAATATTTATATTAGATGCTTATCACTAAACCTTAGTTCAAATCAGAGTTCTTTGTCTAAAGACTCCCTTTTCCAAGTTCTTTCTCACTCATAACAGTGAGGAGATTGCTGGGTTTTCAGTCCTCCTGGTGCTGATGAGACCAACATGCTCAAAGGACGCACTTGAGCTTGCACTAGCGAAGAGAAACATGAAGATGCATGAAGAAAAACAAGACTTATGTATTCCCTACGTCAAATCCTGTGTATATTAAGAGACAACAGCATAAGAAAGGGGTAAGTGGAGTTGAAACAATTCACATGTATGAAAATTTTAGTTATCACCAGTACTTGGTTTTATGGCAAAGATTTCAGTAAAAAATTTACATTAGGAACACCAAGAAGTAAAAAGCTATCAAGTTTTACTGTAGAGTGGTAAATAACACTGCTTTGATGATATACAGAAAAAGATTTTAAAAAGTAGAATATATTATCAAATCTAATGTAACTCACCAAAAACCATTCGCCATAAGGCCGGATGAGGTCGAGTAAACGGACCTGCGGAGAGAACACTGTAGGGTTAGAACAAAATGATTTCAAACAGAGACAAAAACTAGAGAATGGGTTGCTGATCTCCATAAATAATAAATAAAAAGCTCTCCACTGTTAAAATTCTTTTTCTACACAGATACTTTGAGGTCAAAGTCTAGGCTGAAATGTTTTCTCCATATTGTAACAACCATAGCCACAGTCATAACAGCCACCAATCTCCACAATAGTTTTTTGTTTTGTTTTGTTTTTTAATTTTTTCTTTAGAACTCAGACCATTATTTTCAAGGAAACAATGTTATAACAGTGAGTAGGTTACCAGGCTAGCCTTTAGGTATACATAATACATATCATACTTAACAAGTGAAATCTCCCTGCTACACAGGAGCTCCAGGAAAAGAGGTTCTGGACTTTGTGTGTACTTGTGGGGGGACAGGGGCAGGCTGAGGACTCTGACTCTGAAAATGAAAGAGAGAATTACTGTGCTTTGAAAATCAGTGATGTGGGAGTGAAACTGAAGACAAACCCTTTGAGCACTGGAACAGCCTAGTGCAGATCATGAACTGTGGTAACGTAATAGCTTTTACCCGGCAACCCGTTTCCTCTACACAGGTGCAGATTCCACACAATGAAAACAAATTTCACAGGACGAAGCTTACTCTTACTCTAAGTGATACACCAATAGTTTTTATTTTTTGCTTCATTAAAAAAAAATAGAAGATAAGCAAGCAAGCTGGGCCTTGGTCCACCACTTTGATTTACCACCAACTGAAGGTTACAACTCGCAAATGGTGAACACTGTCCTAATGGGCACCTAACCTATCTGGGGCTACCCACACTTTTGAGGCAGCCTTCCTACACTTGGGAGAATATCCAGCGTTATGGATACCATATCTCTGGGGGAGATGCCAGAGCTTGCTGCCCAGCTTTCTTTATAACCAGTGCTCAGTTCTTCAGTTGCACACGTCCGACTTGACCTCAGGAGCTGGCGATAGCAGAGGTAAATATGTAGAGCTTTCTTCTCCTTCTCACCGTTACTCTCTGGCCCTGGCCGGCAGGGAAAGTGGGAAATGGCGCTGCTCACACTGGTGAAAGTGGCACTGGTGATTGTGGCAGTGGCAGTTCATTAGAATTTGCTGCAGAAGTGACAGTGGGACAGACTATGCTCACTGTGGTTTCCTCATTATACAAGTTCTGAGTGACATGAGCTTGCCTGGGGGCCAAGTTTTCTAACCTTCTATGATTCCTCCTTGAGCCATCCAATATCCTGTAATAGGATTTTTAATCAGCAGAGTCAGCTTCTGTTGCTTGCAACCTGGAATCCTACCTGAAGCAAATATTACATTGTAATTTTTTATCCTGAAACTCACTCTAAAATCTCTTCTTACAGACTACATTAAACCATATTTTAGCAGCTTTCTTTTTTTAAAAAAATTTTATTGGGGAACTGGGGGAAGGGGAACAGCATTGGAGAATCGGGGGAGGGGAACAGACAAGTTGCTGTGCTTTTGTTCTGCAGTCTCGTTGTGGAGGACATTGCTTCACTGGCCATGTTGGTATTATCATTGCGCTCTTCCCGGGTGAGGCAGATCGGTCGCTGGCCTCTGGATGGCTGCTCAAGGCAGCTCTTGGCAGCTCACGCCGGCTGCTGGCCACTCACAATAGCTTATGGCAGCCCACTGCCGAAGGGGCTGCAGCCTATGCCCTCGTCGGTGACTCACGGCAGCCAAGCTCCAGGTCAAGCTGTTGTTCACCATCTTAGCTGCAGAGGGCAGTGTCACTGGCCCCGATGTGGGATCCGAAACAAGGCCCTGCTGCTCAGAGCTGGTGTCCCAAGTCAGCTCTTAACCAACGCGCCATTCGGCCAGCCCATTAGCAAATTTCTTTTGATGAGTCAAGTTCATAATTAGGAAAATCAGTTACAAGTATCCCCCAACATCCAATTCTACTCAATTCCTGAGTTTTAGATGGTGAGGGTTCAGAAGGTAGTTTAGGTTCCTGAGAGGCTCTGCTTTATCTAAATTAATTTGGTGTTTGAGTTTTAGATGGCAAGTAGTGAGAGCTCAGAAAACGAGGGATTTGCTTAAAAGTTTATCCAAATCTGTTCATTATCTGAGTTCTGATAGCAAAGGCTCAGACAGCAAGAACTACCTGTAGTCTTTTTAATCATCTGCTCCTGTCTCAGAAAAGCATAGAAACCAGAATCCTCTTTTAGGTAACATAATACAGTTAACTTTCTTCAAAAGTTATTGGAAAACTGATGGCTAAAATTGCCATCTTTTCAGTAATTTTATGTTCCTCATGTTTTTCTTCACTGACTTTTGGTTGATGTCTCTTGACTTGTCATCATGAATAAATGACCTTTGTACTATGATGGCTTTCTGGCTTGAAAATATGACTTCATCCAAACCACTGAATTAACCTTCAGATCTAACATGGGACCCCAGCTTTCTCACTCTTACAAGGTCCAACTCTCAAGTTTTATGACCTATTATTTGCTTTGCAACAAAATTCCATGACCAAACAATACTTAAATTCATACAAGTAGTGTCATTCTCAAGAGCAATCATAATATTAATTTAAAATAGTCAGCAGTACTTTCCTAAGCACTCGCTGTGTACCAGGCTGGGGCCTGAGTCACCCCACACATTGTCTCTTAGTTCTCCTGACAGCTGGGTGATGAGGGTGGTGCCATCACCCCCATTTTACAGAGGACACTGAGCCTCAAGGGGTTTTCCCAGTCACCCAGCTCACAGGACTCCCCTCTGGTCTGAGAACACATATGTACTTTCCCATCAACTCTGTCAGACCTGGGACAGCTCAAGAGGAGGAGAGTAGAGGGAGAGCTGAGGGTCTGAGCCACGACCATGTCAGGGCCAGGAGAGCAGGGAGCGGAGCAAGCTGGTAAGTGGTACTGAGTTGCTGTAATGTGGAATTGATAAAAAAGGTCAGGAGGGCCGGTCGAGTGGCGCATTGGTTAAGAGCTGGCTTGGGATGCCAGAGGGCCCCGGTTTGGATACACATATGAGGGCCAGTGACACTGCCTTACACAGCTAAGATGCTGAACAACAGCTCAACCTGGAGCTGGGCTGCCCTGGGTCACTGGCGATGGCATAGGCTGCAGCCCCTGCTGCAGTGGGTTGCCATGGGCTACTGTGTGTAGCCAGCAGCCAGGGTGAGTGGCCAGCAACTAGACTGAAGAACAAAAGGACAACAACTTCTCTGTTCCCCTTTCCCCAATTTCCCAACAAAAATCTTAAAAAAAAAAAAAAAAAGATTCCATGATCTACCATCATAATCAGTTCCCTAAAATGCCTCCAACGTCATCAGCCCCTCTCCCTCTGTTGTACTCGGGACCCCCAGTCTGGTTGAACCCTAGCATCTCTTACCCATGCCTCAACCCAAGCTACTAAACACTGCAAGAACACCCCACAATACAAGCAAACCGGTATCCCTTTAAACTTAAGCTCTTATCCACAAAATATTGACTTGCTACTTTTTTCTAGAACAGTGGTTCTCAAACTTTAGCTAGCATCAGTCACCTGCAGGGCTTCTTAAAACACAGAGGGCTGGGCCCCACCTCCAGTTTCTGATCAGGTAG